GAGCAAAGAGAAGCAGTCTGAAGATTTTAGTCCCTTTAACAGAAGAGACAATCGGTTTTGTTTACTGCTGTATCTCCAGATCCTCGAAAAGTGTATGGCACAAAGCTGGTGATGGACTGGCAATTTTAGATTGAATGAAGTAGTTCATCCTAGCCTTGGGGTTAGATAGGAAAGAAAAGTCATCAGGGGTGATGAACCTGGATAAGCAGGTTCAAGAAACCTGAATCCTGTGTTGGTGAATATTAGGTTTAACAGCAGATGCAAGAGAAAAATAACAGAAAAAGGAAGCTGTGGTTAGAGAAAAGCTCTCAAATACCACTTTCTGCTTGAAGCCTTTTATAATCACCTCGTGGGACCTTCTCCCCTGTAGGCCTCTTTGAAGATACTCCATCTTTTACACTGTCAAGTTAGGTCACGTGGTCTTCTCTACTTTCATCTCTTTCTTACCCCCAACACTAATCACAGAGAGAAACTGAATTTGAAAAATGGAGGTGACTCCAATCCTAGAGACAAAAAGAGAGTACTTGAAAGTTTGACATTTCTCGTTCATGTCTGTGGTTTAGACTGAAGCTGAAGCAGAGTATTAAGAAACTGGCTTTCAAACCTAGATCATAGCCAAAATGATTTGCAAAATAACCGGCAGTTGAATGATTGAAGGAATGAACAAGATTAAGAGGGCTCAGGGGCCACTAGATAGAAAGCAAGAATACATGACTAAACTGATTCCCACATGTCTGAAAGCACGGTACAGCTTTATAGGGCAAAGTAGCTGTTAGAAAGCACTTAGCACTAGCAAATTAACTGAGATGTAAAGAAACAAGGCCTTAATGAAGGTCAGTGTGAATACAGGGGAAGAGTGAACACAAAGAACCGAAAAATACCCTAGTTGGTGGGTAATATAAGTCATGGGTAGATAATTCTAAGCTGCTGGTATCATGCATAAGACCAGAATAAGAAAAGAGCAGGAAGATGATACATTCAGTTTCAAAACATATTTGACATAGGGTAAGTGAACCAAATAAAACTAGCAACAGCCAACATTTAAAAAAAAAATTTACTAGCTGGGCATGGTGGCACATGCCTTTAATCCCAGCACTTGAGAGGCAGAGGCAGAGGCAGGTGGATCCCTGTGAGTTCAAGGCCAGCCTGGTCTACATAGTGAGTTCCAAGGCAGCTGGGGCTACAAGGAGATCCTGTCTCAAAAAGACCAAAAAAATTAATAAACAAAAGGTTTGTTTTTATGTTTAATTATGTATATTGTGTGTATCTGTGCACATGAGTATAATGCCCCAGGAGGCAAGAGGAGTCAGATTCCCCGGGAACACAGGTGGTAGTGAGCCACCCAAAGTGGGTGCTGGGAATTACACTCAAGTCTTCTGCAAGAACAGAACATGCTCTTAACATCTGAACCATCTCTCCAGCCCCAGAACCAACATTTTTATGAACTAGCACATGCCAAACAAAGTTCCCCATATACTCTACAATTATTATCTCAATCATCACAATAACATTATGAAGTAGGTGTTATCATCTTTATTTTACAGATGGGGAAAATGAATCACAAGATTAAACAATTTGCCCAGAGTCACTAGCTAGTAATTAGCTGAGCCAGTACAAAGAAGTGAATGTGTTTATGTCAAAAATTCTACCCATCATGTTGCTAAGAGAATGAGGTGGGTCCTTTGGAGATAACTGGGTCATGAGGTTGCACTGCAGCCTCTATGAATGCAGTTAGTATCCTTAAAGATTTATTTATTTATTTATTTTATTTTTGTCTTTTTGAGACAGGATCTCCCTGTAGCCCCAGCTGTCCTGGAACTCACTGTGTAGACCAGGCTGGCCTCAAACTCACAAAGATCCGCCTGCTTCTGCCTCCCAAGTGCTGGGATAAAAGGCATGCACCACCATGCCCCGGCTCAAGATTTATTTATTTTTAACTTAAGTGTGTATTTATCTGCATGTATGTGTATCATGTGCCTGGTGCTTGAGAAGGCCCGAAGACAGTGTTGGATCTCCTGGAAATGGAGTTACAGATGGCAGTGAACCACTATTTGGGCGCTGAGAACTGAACCTAGGTCCTCTGTATGAGCAGCCAGTGCTCTTACTAACCACTGACCCATCTCTCCACAGCCTCAGTTAGTGCTCTTAAAAAAGGAATCTGAGAGCTGTTGTACTCTTGACACCGTGAGGCTATAAGGAGAAAATGGCTACCTGCACAGGGGAAGATGGCCTTAACCAGAACCTGGCCATGCTGGTAGCTTATCTCAGACTTCCAGACTCCAGAATTGGGAGACACTGTTGTTCATAAGCTACCAAGCCTAGGATAGTTTATTATAGCAGCCCAACCTCTCCAAGAGTCAGGGTTTGAACTCAAAATGTTATAAAAATTTACCTGGAACCACATAGTTGACTCAATAACTATTTAGGAGGTATGCTATATTCGAGATATGATGCTGCTATGGATGGGAAGGAAGAAAAGCAAGCATTCACAAGTCAGAGGGAGTCCTTCCCCATGCAAACATTGCAAGGACACTAAACAATTACAATGTACAAGTATATTACAAGTACAATGAACCAGAAGAGAGTAACAGATTACAACTTGATAAGAGAATTCCATTGGAAGAATATGGCATATGCAAATGCCCTGTGGTGAGAACTTGTCTTGAGGGTGGGGGGCAGGGGGCAGGAAAGCCTGATTAATATGGCTAGAGTACAGCAAGTTAAAGAAGACAGTTGGAAAGGGTGGGAAAGCCAAGCCCAGATAATGGAGCTTAGGCTGTGCCACCTGCAGGGGCAGTTTCAGGGGATCTGGACAGTGGCTACTGTAGGACTTCTAGCAAGAAGCTAAGGCAGCTTAGTGGTAGCTGAGGTTTTTAGCTTATACTGAGTGGATGCCCTAACCCTGAGCCAAAGATCATGGGAGGAGGCCTGGGAGGGAATATGATACTCAGGTTGAGTTGGATTCATCCATCCATATGGAAGCACAGAAAAGGCTGCTGGGAAGATGAACCTAGAATTCTGGGGCAGGTCCTGAGTTATGGATTGGAAAGTCTAACAGAGGGTATTTGAAGTCAATAGAAAATGAGACTACCCTAGAAAGTGCATATGGTGGAACTTGAGAATTACAGCTGGGCAGATTTCAACACAGGAGGTGGATAAAGGGGAAGTCTGCCTGTTATGGTAGAGAATGTCTTTAATCCCAGCACCTAGGATGCAGAGGCAGGCAGATCTTTGTGAGTTCGAAGCCAGCCCAGTCTACATAGTAAGTTCCAGCCCAGCTGGGGCTACATGGAGACCCTGTCTCAGAAAAGTCCTAAATAAGGGGCTGAAGAGATGGCTCGGTGGTTAAGAGCACTGGCTGCTCTTCCAGAGGACCCAGGTTCAGTTCCCAGCACTCACATGGTGGCTAACACCCATCCCTAACTCCAGTTCCAGGGGATCAGATGCAATTTTCTGGCCTCCTAGTTTGCACACATGTGGTGAACTTATGCACATGCAGGTAAAACACTCTTGCACATAAAATAAAAAATAAAACTTTAAACCTAGACAAATGAAGAAAAGGGGAAGCAAGCTGTCAAAGAGTACAGTTAGGAGGAAAACTGGTGAGAGGGGAGTGTATTTGGAAGAGGGTATGGTCAACAGGGTTGATGCTGGGATGGTATTGTAAAAAAGGGTTGAAACCCATCTGGATAGACAGGAAGGCTACAACCCAGAGCCACGCAAGTGAGTGGCAAAGACAGAAGCTAGAAGGAGATGAGTGGGTCAGCAATGTGATATGAAAGGACATCTGTCGGTAAGAGACAGGTGAGTTGTTAGAGGGACTTCGGGAGGAATGTTTTACATTTATGTATTTATTTGAAGGACGTGCATACTACTACACCCCAGTTGTGGAAGACAACTTGTGAGAATTGGTTCTCTCCTTCTACCATGTGGGTTCTGGCAACTGATCTCAGATTAGGTTTGGCGCCAAAGGCTTTTATCCATCTCATGGTTTTTTTTTTTTAAAGAGAGGAGAAGGATTAGAATGTTTCTGCTCCGGTTGAGAAAGAGAAGGAAGGGACGGGGCATAGAGGAAAGGAAGGGCAGCTCTTTCAGTGTAACTGAAATCAGTAAGGGGCGGAGTCCAACTGAACAAAATTACAAGGCTTTTGCCCAGGGCTGCAGGGTTCAGTAAAACAAAGTGGAGAACTGGTGGTTGGACTTGGGCAACCTCAGAGAGCAGTTCTAGGAGCTTTGAGGCCACGGAAAGTCACAGTCAGATCCAGGGTAGGGGTGAGTGTACGAAAGGGTGCAGCTGGCAAAAGCTAGCGCTGCAAAACCGCAACACAGGATGTTGCCTGAAGACGGCGGGCAGAAGGGGTGAGGGCGTATTTCGTGCAGCATCGGCCGAGATAGGTCACAGCTCAGACCTCGGAGAGAGGCCGAAGTTACCGAGAGCCTGGGTAGTGCCCGCTCTGCAGCCGAATTCCACATGCCATGCGTCTCGCAGTTTTCACCGCCCCAAAGGCACAGTTCTGGCAGATTCCCGGGGCCCGGAGGTGGCCCGGGGCAGCCCAGGCAACGGGGGTGGGTGTCGCCCCGCCGGCCCAGCCCGTTCCTGCTCCAGCTCAGCGGCCGCGGCCCAGCCCCACGGCGATTCAAAGTTCCCGGGCCCGCCGCAGCCGCCCGGGGTCAGGCACGCGGGGCTTCCCATCAAGTCCCCGCCACCCCGGGAATCCCCCACCTGGGCGCACACAAATCCTGTTTCCTCCATATCGCCGCCACGGGGTTTTGAAGCGTCCACAGGCCGTGGTGAGACTCACGCGGCTCTTTCTAGAGCCGATCTCAGCCCGCCTCCCCGGCTTTCCTCTAGCAATCCCTAGGCTTCGCCCGGAAGAGGACGAAAACCTTCGGCAAGTTCCGCCGCCCTTGCGGGGGTGAGGCGGTGCGAGCCTCTCCGGGCCGAGCTCGGCTGTTTCCGTGCGTGGCCGCTGCGCACTCGGCACTGGGCGGCGCTGGCTGGCTCCCTGGCTGCGGCTCCTCAGTCGGCGGCGGCTGCTGCTGCCTGTGGCCCGGGCGGCTGGGAGAAGCGGAGTGTTGGTGAGTGACGCGGCGGAGGTGTAGTTTGACGCGGTGTGTTACGTGGGGGAGAGAATAAAACTCCAGCGAGATCCGGGCCGCGAACGAAAGCAGTGACGGAGGAGCTTGTACCACCGGTAAGAGGAGCAGGAGGAGGAGGCAGGAGCCGGAGAGAGCCGGGGGGACGGAGGGGGGACGGGGAGGCGCCGGACAGCCGCGCCCGGGGCCTTCCCCTCGCAGGAGGGGCCGCGGTAAAGATGGAGCCTCCGCCCGAGCCCCACAACATCGCCGCCGCTCGCAGCGAA